TGTATTCTTCTGATTCAGGAGGTCTGGGGAAATTACATATCATAAGGTAAATTTTGAAAGTCTTAAGCAAACTTGAAAACAAATTGTGTTAGGATATAATTTTTCTTGAGACTCTAAATAGATATAAAATATGAAGAAAATACAAAAGAATAGGACTATTAATCTTAGTCATATTTACAGGCATGCAACAACTTAAAGAGTTTGATCTCAGGAGAGGTTTCTAAATTTTTTCTTTATAATTAAGTTGATACTACTGAACTTAAAAGGTTTATTTATTTTTATCCTTACTAATGATTCAGGTTTCCATTCTCTCTCCATCGTGGGAATAAGCAGCATTTCCATTTCTTAAAGAGTAGTCATTTTTCTCGTTTTCTGAAAATAATGTTTCGAAAAGATTATGTTACAGCGCTTACTTTTTTACTTTTTAAAACTAATTAAATACGCTAACATTTCTCAACATTACAAAGTTTCTTACACTTATTGTTGCACATGAAGTTTCTCGACGTATTTCAAGCAGAACTTGCACTATATTCTGTATCAAATACAATATTTCACTGTATACTTTATATGGAACTATCGATTCATAAGCTGTTCATTGGTTTTTAGAGTACGATTTCATTGGTTGTACTTTTGCTATTAAGTGTGTTGAAATTACTATCAACTCTCATATAATACGACACGTATACGTTAGCTTATGTGGAATTAGTGTCATAACAATCTCACACTTTGCTAACTTACTGTTACGTATATATTTTACTGCATTATCTAGACAGTGCCTGTTACGACTACTGTTGGTTTCAAATATTTTTGTAAATCAAAATCACTTTTTGTTTTCCTTCTCCTACTTAACTTTTTTATACGGTATTCATATCAACAATTTATTTAATAATAATTTATTATCAGAGCAAGCTACCTAAAAATACATACCTAGTAATGAGCATAGCTAATTAAATGTAATGCTCAAACTAAACTACTTATAATGATTATAACGCACTGTTTCATCAGTCTGGCACCTTCCTTTTAACGATATTTTCGCCCGTAAACCCAATAATATCTCACGAGGTTCGGCCAGCTCAGGAGGCTTAAGTTAGCCTTAAATCCAAAAACTAAGCTGACAGTGCCGAATAATCGTTATAATAAAATAATAAACATAAAATTAAGTTAGAAATAAGGAAAAATGAAAGTATGTATATTAAATATTCAAACCTACACTGTGTTCGCATTGTGGTAAAAGTTACACTTGTTTAGGCCAATTTCCAAGTAAGAAGTACCACATCATGGTAAAGCTTAGGAGATTTAGGTTAGTCTTAAATCCATAAACTAAGCTAACAATGTGAAATAATCTTTATGGTAAAAAATATAAAATTCAAATTAGTACTATGTAGAATAACCATTATAGTAAACCAGTGAACATTAAAAACACTAAGTATATATATTATACTCATTACCGAATTTAGTTTTAGCGTGGCCAGCTTGTTTTGATCAGAAATTATATTAATGTTTTAACATAACAACAACCAAATGTGTGGCCTGGCATAGCCAAGTGGTTAGGGCGCTCAACTCGCAATCTGCTGGTCGCGGGTTCGAATTATAATGTTATAATGTGACGATCAATCCCATTATTCATTGGTAAAAGAGTAGCCCAAGAGTTGTCGGTGTGTGGTGATAACTAGCTGCTTTCTCTCTAGTCTTTCACTTCTCAATTAGGGACGGTTAGCGCAGATAACCCTCGTGTAGGTTTACGCGAAATTCAAACCAAGTACATATTTTAACCAAAACTCTGTGTCCGCACTATGGTAAAATTATGGCGAAATAATCTTTATAATAATGATTACAATTAGTTATAATAAATATAATAACCAATAGTATTAATGAGAGTAACCTTAAAAAAAGGATGGGGTATAACTAACTTAGTATTTGAACTATACCAAATGTTATTGAGAATATGATAAAAGCATCGTTGATAACAAGTATAACCTCCAGCTGACGATTGAAGTCCTATTATATTTATTATGACAACAATTCATCTTCATTTGGACTTTAATTATTAATATTTCAAACTATGCTGAACTGACTATACATTAACAAATTTGTTTATAGTGTTAAACTACTTCATGTTTTAAGTGAATTAAGCTATAATCATAACTGTGATTTCTTGTGGCTTTTTTTATGACCACGATACATATCTATGGAGGTAGTCCAAAAGAAGATATCAAAAACAAATTACTGAATATCACATATATTACCATGATTTTCCGTTTATCAAAACAATATCTGACATATAAAAATGTCTATCTAATTAAACATTATAGGGTAGATATAATTATAAGGTTATAACCATTACATTATTATAGCATAAAAATTTAAAATACAACAATTAATGACTTATTTAAAAAACCACACGTACATACATAAATAACAGAAAATAGGAATATTGAGACACTAGATTTTTCCCCCTTAACTAAACTCGTCCTTTAAATAAGTCCCAGGACTATGTGTTTATTCGTATTGGGCTGGATGACAGGAAGCAGTTATTTACGACAGGTTTGGATAGGACGAGAACTTTACTGGGTATAATTCTTTCCAATGTGGCGAATGTTACAAGTCAGTGATTCACAACAGATCCGAGCAACCAGGATAAAGTCCAATAAGATGCCATAAAGTGAAAAAAATTAATGATTATTGTTAATAAAAACTGAGATGTTCTTGGAAATGTGAAACGACTCCGTAAAGATGTTATGAAAACTTCCGCTGTTTCTTTCAAATCAGCAGTGGACTAATATTAGTCTGTTTGATACTATGAGAGAAAGAATCCTTACACGTGTTGTGAGTAAATATTGAATTACTTTTGAATTTCAGTATTTCGGCTTCGTTGGTTCAAGATATTTACATAATCATCCAGTGAAAAAGAAATTCAATGTTTTTATGAAGTCCGTAAAAATCAGTAAACCAGTTGATAACCCAGCTTATCAGTGGATTGCCTCAAGAATTTGAAAAGTTTTAGTGTTATCTTCATAGTAATATCTTTTCATTTTTAAAGGTATGTTAAAGAACTATCTGAATAAGTTCCACATTTTTTAGCTCTAAAATTTGGAAACTGGCATGGCTAGATGGTTAGGGCGCTCGACTCGCAATTTGTGGGTCACGGGTTGAATCCCCGTTCCACCAAACATGCTCGCCCTTTCAGCCGTGGAGGCATTATAATGTGACAGACAATCCTATTATTCGTTAGAAAAGAGTAACCCAAGAGTTGGCGGTGGGTGGTGAGAGAGAGAACTCAAACGAGTTTTGCAGCCGTTATACAAACCGGTGACAAAAGACATAAGAATAACTTTCATAAATGATAAATTTAATGGTACTTGTAGTACATTGTAGTACAAACAAAAATATAGTTTACATCTGTCAGGACTGTTGTGGAAAAATTTAATAGTGAATAGTAAAACTACTTTTCAGAATTAACACACTTGCTTCTAGCTGCAGAATGAGAGATTCTAGTAGTAAGAGTAGTGCTTAATTGTAAAAAAAAAAAAAAGAATGTTCTCAATCCCTATTAATGATTGTTGGACAGGATTTTGAATTTTAGAAGTTAACAATTCGCATATTGTTGAGGCTGCTACTTAGGATGAGGCTGGAGGAAAGCAATGTACATAACCTTGTCAATCGAATATCAGTTCGCGATGTAACCGAGGAATCATAAAATTAATCATACACTTTCTGCTATTATATTAAATTTAAATGCCCTAGTACCTGCTGTATAGAAGTGAGAAAAATTAAACGTAAACATACCTTTGACAGGGTATCAAATGAAGCATTGAGAACTTGTCAATACCTCAAATAGAGAAGAAGTTATTCATTCAGTTTATAATATACATATGTATATATTTTTTCTTAAGAAAATATACGGTGCATAAAGAACATCACTTTTATTATGCACGTTTCAAGCCATGAACATCTGCTTAATTAAGTCGATCATCCCTAATACGTTAACTTATGACACAGGTGTGGATTCTTTTATTTTGGTTCCTCATAAAATTTGTATCATATGAGTGCTCGACTTATAATTTTTTAACGAAGGGAACTTTACAACTATAAATAGATAAGTGCAGACTATACTGATACAGTCTTATAAATAAATATAGAATGAATTTAATTACACCGTTGATTAGTCACTAATTATATCAAAGTTAAAATTTTACTATAGTTTTCAGTAAAACAAACTAAAAACCAATGTATGATGGAGATAATATTTGGCACAAGGAGAATCAGTATGACTGTAGCTCTGCACGCGTGCCTCCGTTTTAGCTGAAACAGTTAATAAACTCCCACTCTCGTAACGTTTTCGCCCCTCAGTGGTACAGCGGTACGTCTGTGGACTTACAACGCTAGAATCCGGGTTTCGATACCCGTGGTGAGCAGTGCACAGATAGTCCGTTGTGTAGCTTTGTGGTAAATTACAAACAAACAAACGAAACGTTCTCCTATGCGCATGATTTTCTTAATGGGGAGGGGGGCGAAATATATTTCTTTTAAGCAAAGGGGATGGCATTTCTTTTTGCTCCTTCTCAATTTTAACACTGAATCCAACATATAACAGAGAACAATAGTCTAGTTTAATTGCACCAGTACTATTCCGTGTGGCTTAAATGCAGCTTTAACACGTTGTTATGTAATTTCTGAGGAAGTTAAGAAGTTAGATAAATTAGTTATTCTAATGTAACTAAACATAAACGCGCATTTAATCTAATGCTACAATTTTCGAAATGTATTTTTTTCGACTTAGAATGATATACAGATTTTGTGATCAAAATTTAAATGAAAAGTTGGTTTAAAGTTTTATAAAACAAAATATTGACGGTAAGAATTTTAAGTTTTTCATGGACTGGAGTGTATGTATGAACGATATCTCGTTCATTAAGCGGAATGTTACAATAGAAATTATCATTTTTCTTCATTTTGTTATTCAATTAAATTGACTTTATGTATGCCAATAAAATTTACAGAAACAGCTTTTAGAGCAAAAACAGAAACAGAAGAGGCAATCTCTCGGAATGGTCCAAGCTTCAGATATTCGACCAACATCCAGTAACAGCCAAAGAGGATTGATTCGAGAAGTCAAGCCCTTGATGGCTGACTACAGTATTCAGAGGAATAGCAATGATAGCATTGCTCTGTGTAAGTGACAAATGTTTATGTTTAAAACTGTTTCATCAGTCGATATCTTGTAGTGAATGATTTTACTAGATAAAAAAAGGTTGACTCTGATATTGGTTTATCTGGGTCGAACGTGTTCGAAAATACATTTGCATCAAAGTAAAAAACAAATCCGATTTATCTTATGTAACAATTCGCAAATAGAATCGTATCCACTTTCTATGTTTGAATTGAGAACATATGATGTCAGAAGAGCTAATATTAAATTATTCGAACCAATCATGCGAATTTGTACGAGTTACAACGGGTCTGCCCAGTGCATCATGAATGAATTATGTTTGGCATTATTTGGACCCTATTTTCTCTGTCAGTGGATTATAATTGGTCTTTACTAGGCTACATACATATTCAGAATGAATCTCATATACATAAAACTGGTAACTCAGGTTATACATGTAATAAAACGTAACTTTAACAGGGAATTGAAAAAGGCATATATGTACCTAATTTTACCGGGACCCAAACATCTACCCTTTACCTAAAACAAGGTATACAATTAAATATAACTGTAAAATCGGTTACTACTTTCATGTGACGTTCGAAGTATTCTATATTTCTAGAATTATAATTGGACACCCCGCCCCCCTCTCTCAACGTGGTTCAATGGTATACTTGAGGGCTTATAACGCTAAAAATCGGGATATGATCCCTGTAGGAGGTACAACGCAGGTAGTCCTTTATGCTTAATAACAACACAAACAAATGCAACTGGACATCCAAATTAGGCCAAGGAGGCAAAGTTGCCCGGTCTCTCCTGAATACGCGGCCCTGGGATAATTTACCCGGCTGTCACCCATGGTACTTTTTGAAGGAGTTTGCAACGGATCTTTCCATTGTATCTTGAATGAATTGTGTTTGGCATTATTCTAACCCTATTTTATCGGCCATTTGATTATAATGGATCTTTATCAGACTACATAAATTTAGAATGATTCATTAACTTTAAAGATTCATGCAGATTAAGAAAATCCCGTTCGGTACGTTAACCAGCCTAATCAAACCATGCAGATTATGGCAGATTTCTCCCTTACTCCATAGCTCCACTGAAAATAATTATTGTTGGAATGAACCCAATATGTTAGCTGATTCATACTAGTTATAATGGTCCATTTCAAAACTCTATGAACTCAATCGGGTATTAATTCTCTTAACCTATTTCATTGGTCCATGCAAGTTAAGTTATGATGGCCTTATCCGTAATTCCAAGAACCTATTTGGAGGTTAATAGCCATAAGTTGTTTTAATTATCTATACAGGCTATGACGGGCCTCTTCAGTACACAATGAACTCGGATAACCCTGATGGTACAGCAACATCAGAAATTGTGAGGTCATTTTCAGAGCTAGGAGGTGATGGAAATGTTAACATCCTAAAATTAGTGCAAACTACCGACAGTTCTCATGCAAATGCTGAAGTAAAAATGACTGAACACTCACGTTCACACGATGACGACCTAAGATCCGCGAAAGGGACAAGTCAGTTTCGTTGGAATCGTGGTGATCAAAGATCCATGAAAATGATCATTCCATCTCGTGCAAATGATGACGTCAAAACTATCGACCAACCAGGTAAGAAGAAACCATTTACAGATAATACACGATTGGCAACATAATTGTTAAAAACTTATGTTTAGATTTTACAAAACTACACTAAGACTTCACATTGACTTGTATAGTGTATTTAAACGCCTTAAACAACATAATTTGAGTGCTTAACTTCCTCGCCTTTATTCAATACGATCAAAATAATGTGTTATGATTCAGTAATTGTTTTTGGTGGCCCTAACCCATACATTGCTTTTAAAATGTATAAAATACTGTGTTCAAGTTGAAAAGTAAAGATAAAACCCTGCTATGCTACGTAATGTTTGTGATTCAAAAAATAACAGAGAAAAAAATTGTCGACATAATATTACACAGTTTTAAATAAAGGATAGGCCTAAACTGTTGTTAAAATCCATAACAGTATACTGCTCTTCTAATTATACAAGATTAACTAGTTTTTCATTATATTAAAAACACGCTTTTCCAGTCTATTTAAATACTTTTATTATTTACAAAATTCATTAGATTTTACACAATATTGTGGTAAAAAAAGATGTTCAAAAGTAGGAATTAAGGCTTTTAGATTTAGAAAACTTTAATGTATTTGTTTAGAAATATATTGTTACGACAGCGGAGGTCACGTGACGCTGAAACACGTGATAAGTGTCTAGAAGGTTCATGAAGAGGCGAGTGCATTCTAGACGCCCTCTATTCTTGTGCTGAAAATAAAGCGAGATAATTAATTGGTTAGCAGACAGAGAGATAGGGAGACAGATAATCGAGTCAAGTCGTAAGTAAAGTGCGTGAATTGTTGTGAATTATAGCGTGTGTTTAAGTTAAAGTGACTGTGGAAATTAAGTGTATTGCAAAGTTGTATTGAGAAAGAATAAACTAGTTTTATTTAAGAAAGGACTTGTATCGCCGAAGTTCTTCGGAAAGAATTTTTACGGAAAATTAACAATCGAACAGAGACGTAACAATATAAACTATGGCATATGCGTCTGTGTACCGTGTTAAAATTAAATTTGACTAAAAGATTATAACTTGCGGTATATGTTTGCGTACTTCAACAAGTTGACCAAACGCACTTCAGCTTCCGCATATGAATGTTTAAACAGTGTTTCAAAGTATTTTGGTATGTGTGTTTGTTTCAACTATATATAAACGTATTGTGACTGGTCTTATGCAAATTAATCCATGGGTATTTTTTTATTTGTCTTGTGTTACACTAGTGTGGCCGAGAGTTAAAATATAAGTATATATTTCTCTCATATTTTAACCAAATAACTGATGCCAAAAAGTCGGTACGAAGTTTCTATTGCGTTTCTCTTCGACAGACAATTATGTCCGAAAGTCTATAAACCCTCAGTCTGTCCTTTACAGTCGAACGTTTTACTGATGTAAACCATATAATTGAGATGGGTTAGAGCCTTAATGAAATATATAAACTGTTGCTTGAACTTTAATTAAGGTCGATTACATGGTTGATTGGAAACGAGATAATAAAACAAAGACTTACAAAGAAATAAAGCTTCCAAATAAAGCTCAAACCCAATGTTTAATCACCAGAAGCCTCATTAAATTACATTTAATACTCCTTGGGGATTAATTACAAGAAGACCAGGCTATGAGGTTCCCTTTAAACTTCAACATTATCGAACAAACATTATTCTCGGTTATGAGATCCATCCATTTGTGACAGGAGGTGGTGGTAGGGGAGGGCGCGTGAAATGTTCTCTTTTTTTAGCAGTATGCATGAATACTGCCATTTCATGGTTATATAAATTCTGCTCAAATTACATTTGCTGCCTCACCAGATAGAAAAGCGTCTGGATGATCAGTTCTATCTCTAAAATTTAGGATTTTTTAAAAGACATGTTAATCTATGCACAAGTCGCTTGTCTCTTAGAAATATATACGCATTTGATTAATAAAATCGTTATACAAAATACAAAACCATATAAAGAATTATCATAAACGTATTACGGTTAAACGCTCCTTCTAACAAATGGTCTTTCCTATACATTAAGTGCTTTAGTCTAACTTATTAGCATTTAGGCACAAACTATATTTTAATTTAAGAACATCTTACAGTTGATATTAACCTTACATGTATGGATTATTGGTATTTTGAAGCCAGCAATTACTAGGATTAAAATCTTAGAATCGTCAATTTTGACCACTTGGCAAATTAACCATCAATTTACCAATGTGTTTTTATCCCATTCACTACCGCTGGACGCCACATATTCTATCGTAATCTTTTTTATCTGTTACTACAGTCACTTTAAAAAAACTGATCAAATAAACTTAATTATGAACCATTCATTTTCTATGTAAAATATACAGGGAACACCGACGGCAATTAGTGGTATTAATTGGAAATGTGATGGTAGTTTAGTTTACATTTTTTGTATGATTCATTGTCAAGGACTTTGTAGTCAACAAAGTCATGAACCATTATGGTACACAAATGCTTAAGATTATTTTGCTTAAAAGGCTGACCTCACCGATAATTCTAGGGTTAAGAATTCATTTTATAAATAGTTTGAAAGATAATTTAGTGAGTCTGTAACTAAGGTAAATACTTCTGTAACAGTGGAAATGTTGTTTAACAGCAGCATTATCTAACCAAGCTGAAAAAAATTGTGTAAGATTGTTTAACAGAGCAGTAATAACTAACTTGAACTGGAAGAATTGTGTAGCATTATTTAACAGAGAAGTAATACCTAACTCGAACTGGAAGAATTGTGTACCATTGTTTAACAGAGCAGTAATATCTAACTCGAACTGGAAGAATTGTGTACCATTGTTTAACAGAGAAGTAATACCTAATTCGAACTGGAAGAAGTTTGTACCATTGTTTAACAGAACAGTAATATCTAACTCGAACTGGAAGAATTGTGTACTATTGTTTAACAGAGCTGTAATATCTAACTCGAACTGGAAGAATTGTGTACCATTGTTTAACAGAGAAGTAATACCTAACTCGAACTGGAAGACATTTGTACCATTGTTTAACAGAACAGTAATATCTAACTCGAACTGGAAGAATTGTGTACTATTGTTTAACAGAGCAGTAATACCTAACTCGAACTGGAAGAATTGTGTACCATTGTTTACCAGAGCAGTAATATCTAACACGAATTGAAAGAATTTTGTAGCGTATGATAGGAAATTATAAGAGCTACTGTTTCTCTCATAATTATTATACATATGTAAACTGTAAAAGAAACTAAACCACGAATATACAGTTCATTGTACGAGTATTATGTTTCTCTTTATTTCGTATGTACAATTTGACTTAATGGTGATTCAGCCACATTACATTGAAACTTGTATATACAATACTGGTAGCTCAGCTTACACGTCAAACAAAATGTGCCTTTAACGAAGTAATGAAAATGATAGACATGTACTTTGTTCCCCAAGCATCTTTTACCTTTTATTAAAATAATCTATAAAATAAATGTAACTGTGGAATCGTTACTAGATTTCTGTTAAGATCAAGATATCCTGTATTCTTAGACTTGTAAATGGACGTCCCCCCTCCCTCCCCCCACACACTGGTAGCTCAGTGGTAAGCGTGAGGGATTATAACGCTAAAAATCAGGGCTTGATCCATTCGACATGCACGGTATAGATAACCCATTATGTATCTTAAAGCTTAACAAAAACAAAATACAAGTGGACGCCCATTGTAATTGTGGTGATGTATGGTACTGCTAATGCCCGGCATGGCCAGGTGGTTAGGGCGCTCGACTCGTAATCTGAGGGGCGCGGGTTCGAATCCCCGTCACACCAAAACATGCCAACCTCTGGTCCCAAATCCAGGAGGAGGGTTGGGCGCGGGGCTAGCCTAGCAACTCCACCCCGTAAAAACCAACCTGCTACAAGTAACTGCAACAACAAACTTCCGTTGCGGCCCTATGCTCCACTGGGAGTTTACAGGAATAGAAAAAATGGTACTGCTATTCAATTCAACTGTTTATTTCTTCAGAATCAAAGTGCGGATTTTATATAATTCATCTATCCATCAAATTTCGTACTATATAGAAGATAAAAACGTTTAGGTTAGGGGATTAATTTTTATGCTTCTTGCAAAACTTATGTAAATATGTGTCGCACTCTTGAAAGTACACTGAATTGATATGTCACGTTCCAGTGGTATGCTGTTTGAATATTTAATATAATGAATAACGCATTGCATCAAAACACCGAGATAAATACAAAAACAACATATGTTTAAAATACAATACGCTAAAGATTAAAACGCGGTTAGGCTTGCTTCAAACAAAAGGTACTGTTTTTACTTGTTTGTTTGTTTTTGAATTTCGCGCAAAGCTACACGAGGGCTATTTGCGTTAGCCGTCCCTAATTTAGCAGTGTAAGACTAGAGGGAAGGCAGCTAATCATCACCACCCACCGCCAACTCTTGGGCTATTCTTTTACCAACGAAAAGTGGGATTGACTGTCACATTATAACGCCACCACGACTGAAAGGGCGAGCATGTTTGGTGTGAGGGGGATTCGAACCCGCGACCCTCAGATTGCGAGTCGAGTGCCATAACCACCCGGCCATGCCGGACATGCGTGTTTTTACTTGAAACAGAAATAAGGCATGTATTAGGTCGTCAAGAAATTAATGTCGCGTTTTGGAACACTTTCGTTAACCACCTCCCAAAAAACGTACATCACTTATAATAGTTAAACGAACCGCTTAGACGTCATGTTAGTGTAGACTATATAATGTGTAAAGTTTAGTACACTCTAATCCCTTATAGTGATGACACACGACGAGACGCACATTCGGCGTGTAATGCTGTTTGAATACAAAGAAGGAAAACAACGCCTCTGTAGCCACAAATAATA